CCAATGAAGTAGCCATCACTGACAACAATAAGCACACGACCTGAGGTAGGAGAACAAAAATCGGTGAATTAATTGGCCAACACAATCAAAAGAGTGAAATATTTTGTAATTTTGCTATGATTGCACTGAAAAATGTTTAAAAAAAAACTGAATGTATACATGATTATGGGGGCCTACCCAGTCCAACATTATAAAATTACTTTACGTTTCATCTTTAGCACTTACGTTACGAAGTAGCGATGTAACGTCGACTATATTAATAAGCTTTCAGTATTGAAGAGGCGTTTGGTAATGTTTTATTCATCAATGCAGTTGCATGAGTATTTTTGTTTATCGAATGGGAATGCCAGATAGTAGGCTTACATGTAGTAAACGTTGAGACATATCTAGCTAGATATCATGTGCCTTCGACTTTTACGCAGTACGTTTCGAAAGGCAAAAATTATTGTATTTGTTGGGTTGAACATAATGCGGTGTTGCTTTACATAATAATATCATGTTTGTGATTAAGAAACCTGAGAGAAATATAGTTTAAGTCGACCCTCTATTTCAAATGGGATTTTTCCTGCCAAATTCACGATGCATTTTGTTAAACGTGTAGACTTGTACGAGTATGTACCTGCTGGAAACTGTCTAGATGATATGCCAGCGCACATTTTATAAATCCTGCACCAAATATCCTGCAAAAAATAATATCATGTATTCAAGCAGTCTCATGATGCTATAAATGTATACAGTAAAACTATGTTTCTGATATGTTGATCATAAATTTGTCAATTTCAGAGTTTGATCTCTAGCAACAAATAAAATGTATCAAGGGCAACTGACAAATATTTTTGATATTTATACCTCTGAAATGTTTACCTCTGACATTTTTACCTCTGACTTTTTTTTACCTCTGACATTTTTACCTCTAACATTATTACCTCTGAAATGTTTACCTCTGACATTATTACCTCTGACATGTTTCCTTTTCTCTCTCTCTTTTTTTTTTTGCGGGGGGGGGGGGGCCAAGGCCCGCTCGGCCCCCCCCTGGATCCGCGCCTGCCAACATTATTATACGAATGTCATATACAGAAGCTATCACAGCCCTCCTGCATGTATTCTCTAAAATCAATAATTTTGATGACTCGGTTTTTCACCTTTTCTTGAATTTCTTTTGTTTTCACCAATGACACTGGACAAAGGACTATTTTCTGGAAATATCAGTGATCAAAGTCATTCTTCAAGTTTATTCCTTCTATTCTTTTGAAGAAAATATGATTGAATTGAACATGAAATATGTGACATAATTTGAATGGAACATGATAACTGACATAATTTCATCATAATAATAATTATGCTTTTATAGCGCATAATATTCAGGGATGTTTCTATGCTCTTACAAAGATGATAAAGTAAGTGAATTAGTCTGTTATGAAAGAATCATGTATCTAGTGAAGAACGGAAACATTAACCTTAGTGCATAACTGAATAACAAGATAAACTACAAGTAGTATAAATTTAGGTATATAATACACTGTTTTCCTTTCCAATCAAAAATATAACTAGGAATTATACAAAACTTGAAGGGATCTCGTACAGACATGTTATGCAAATGCGACAAATAATAGCTTAAATACACCAAAATGATAAGTCTAACAGCACAACGTGCATAGAGCAAATCAATATAACATTAAATATTTAATACTTAAATAAGTAAATTTAATTTAAATTCAACATGAAATTTACAACATAGGTGTGTTCTTTTCACATCGTTTGACTACATAATAAAATAACATTCTTCTCCCCCCCCCTTTTTTTCTTCATACAGCGGGGGTTCCTTGATACCGGTATAGTGTAACGATGTAAAACATGATCTATAGTTCCAAAATAAGTCATCGGTGTCTATTTCCCTGTTATATTTACTCTGTTTACTTTGCAACGGCATAGTACAGGTATTTTCATTTCATTTCATTTATTTCATTTATTTATTTCACTCTCTTTTAAAAAAACATCAAAAGTATATACATGTTCGTTCATTATCAACATAACATAAAAAGGAAGTGGGGAATCATGAAAGCCAAAATTGGCTTGATGAGAATGATCCCCAAATAAATACTAAGCATAAACATGATACAAACTTATTTTATATAAAACATAGTACATACATTGGCAACAACAGAGGACAGAAGAAATATAAGTTACAGCTTGAGTGTTACATTTGACATAATAAATGACAATTTCATTTTGTTCCTCTTAAATAACCCTTGTACTTGTATTTGAAGCGTTTTAATGTGTTGCACTGTTTTAAGACATCTGGCAAACTATTCCAAATTAATGGGCCATGAAAAAATATGGAATCCTTAGAGGTTGAAGTACGGTATAAAGGTAAATGAAAATCAAGAGCGTGTCTGGTACTATATTCGTGGATTTGACAATTCATTGTGAAACATTCCCTAAATGAATCTGGTAAAGGTATATCTTTCAAAAGCATGAACATACAAGTGCAACATTTAATAACATTATATTTGTATCTGTTTTTGTTACCATATATATACAATAATTAAAAGTTCATCATTTATTCGCTTGTACTTGTATACCATGAACACATGAAATGCACTCTTAAATCGTTAACCTTTTCTCAACAGATCCCTCATCTTTCTGTCTCTTCTCTCTATCGTCTTCCCAACTTGCCCCTTTTCATTTCTCGTTTTCTGTCTTTAATATTGGAACTATTTGTTGTTTATTATAAATTGGAGGTGCAATATGTGAAAAAAATTCTTCATCATTTATAATCTTAATTGTTGTTCCTTGTCAACTTTTGTGAATGTAATGTATTTTTTTATATAATCTTTGAGTAATGCATGTATGTAAATTTCAAAAGTATCAGTCTTTGGACTGATTTGAAGGTAATTGTCTTTCAATAAGTAGCCGAATGAATAAGTGAATCATTAATGCATTAAAAGCAAAAATAGATAGAGAGAGTTACGGGAATGAGGCCTAAAAAAAACATGAATCGGGCGGTCGGAATTCTTTTTGGTTTTAATGTTTTGTTTTCCCTCCCACTTTGGGCTGATATTTCTCAGTATGTTTTTTCTCAAAAAAACGGTAAAAAAATAAAAATTTAACAAAGGCCGACCGTAGATTTCAAGATTTTGGGGTCGGTCGCAAAGGGCAATACAACATCTTTTTTTGTAGGCCTTAGGGACAGTATAAAGTAAGGCCCCTTAAATGTTATATGGACAGATCCAGTGAACAGCTTTTGGTATATGAAAATAAATGATGTCCTTCATTACAAAAGTTTCCTTGGTACAAAAAACCTACAAAGAAACACAAACAGAAGTATGCCTTAACCATGGCAACCAATACGTATTAAGGGTAAGTAAACAAATTTTGACAAAAAAATAAATCTATAATTATACCTTGCATATTTTAAAACAAACATTTTCGGATACATTGTTATATTTTGAGAACAATAATTTGCTTACTTTGCCACTATACCGTGAACACTTAGATAATCTTTTCAGTATTACACATAGCATTGGAAGGAGGCAGCTGCTCATCCCCCATAATAGCGGGAATGCATGACTGTGTTTTATATCTACAATGTATGCGTTCAGTCGATTAGAAGGTGTGCTACCCCCTCCCCTCATCTTTGATTCTGATTATCTATCTACATCTGTCTATAAAATAAATCCAATTTGCAATATTGAGCGCAACCCCTAGATATTTCATAAGCGTAAACGTGACATAGTCTACTGTCGACGGCATAATGAAATCAGTCAACATTATGATAGCATTATGATAGAGCGGAGTCTAGACCGACTATTTGATTTAAATCACATTTCGGCACAAGCTTGCAAGGCATGGGCACTGACAGGACTGCATCCGGGAGTTTTAAAGTTCAAACAATCGACATTCGATGGTCCATCATCTCATAATTAATCGGTCAAAGAGGTGCCCCATATATCCTAATTCTTAGGCAGCAAGGTACGCAACTACCCTCCTATACAGACAACGAGGTACCTGAATATATATATAGGGGCAGATCTAGTTTTTGGCAAAGGGGGGGGGGGGGAGTTTAACCCAATGACGAACCACTAGCCGCACAGCGGCGAGGCGATTTGTTTTGCTATTTTGAACCCCCGTAACCCCTCAGTCACATCTTTGCGTATTTGGCTTGCGTATGCTGCGTATTTATGGGAAGCTGTTTTAACATTTATTTCTATTTCTTGATATCAAGCATTACCATTGCTTTACAACAGAAACATCATTTTTTGATATCAGGAAATAGGAATAAATGTTAAAACGGGTTGCCATAAATACGGAAAGGTGTGACTGAGACATTAGTGATGTTTTCCTGGCATCTACTAACACAGTGGAGACCATAAAAACACTGCATGATAACGTCAGGACACATGGTGGCGTTTTTTTGTAATGCACATCACATTTTCACTTGGCAGCCAAAGGGAGGGGGGGGGGGGTAAACCCGTAACTCCCCCCCCACCCCCCTCCCCTGTAGATCCGTCACTGATATATTTCAAAATGGTGTATGTTGGTGACTATTAAGAGCTGTGACAACTGAGAACAGGCAAGAGTAGATTATAATGGTGCATTTTTCCACTTGACCAAATAACAGTCCAAAATGGTTTGGTTTTGCAAGTTTCTTGAACTCTACGTTTCATCTGCAAAACTGAAATTTACTCCCATGTCTCATGGAAGATGTAAATCGTATCACGACTGCAAAAAGCAATCTCCCCCGTCTTGAATGTTTGCAAACAGCTATCAACAGGATATAATTCTGTCAGCTTGAAATCAGTGTTAATGTTTTTGATGTATTTGAGCTCTTTTGTGTACTGAATGATGCTTAGCAGACCCTGATATTCCAGAACCCATGCAATGACAATTGAATCATCCTGACACAAAGCAGGGTAAGGACTATAACCATCTTTGACGATGCTATGAATGATAGAACCAGACACATCGTTGATCACTTGTACCTGAGACGGATAGACGAAAACAGATGAACTCATATTAGCGACAATCTCTTGACTGGATGTCATCGCAAACATCTGGCGTGGTTGAAATCCGTCACACGTTATCTCTCTTATGGCCTTCCCCCTTCTGGCTTAAATACTTGTATTGTCCTGCATCCATAGTAACTCATGAAGATCAGCCCATTCTTGCCTACAGTGAGACCGACTACCTCACATTTCATTGTTTCAAACGTTACATCAAGCTTTTCACAAAATTCTGTGTACGAGGAGATTCTGTTATTATTATCGCGTATCACGTATCCACCATCAGGCATGAAGTGTAAGGCACTAACTTTAACAGATTTCAGAATGGTATCTTTTATGATGCCCTCAGGGGAATATGTGGCTATTCCTCCCTCGACATAACCTACAGCCATCTCATTGTTAGGTGATATTACCATCCCGCTCATCCTTTTTCCCGCAGGCAGTGGAGCTGCCGTGCGCAGAACCCATTTAGACTTCTTTTGTCTTAGCTGGCCCAACTGGAGTTCATCCGATCCCTGACTCCTGAAGCCAATTTGTTCACCTTCCTCAGCAGTTCTTCTGGGCAGCTCCACATCTGGCCTGATATGGTTTAGAAGCTCTTCCAGCTGTTGACACATCGCTTTATGTGAGGTCAGAGCCTCTGTCTGGAGAGGAAAATTAAGACCATCCTTAACCAAGTCCAGAACCTTCTTAATCTCGTCTATCTGCTTACGTATCGGCTTCGCCATGTCTCCCAATGAAGTCTTAAGTTTTCCTAGCTTGTTCTCAATTTCATTTTTCAACACCCTCTTTCTTTCCTTCAATTTGTCAACTGATTCCTCGAAAGATGCATCTATTTCGCAATTGAGTTGTTCCTGTACGTTGTGCAGCTTTTTACGCTGGTCTTCGATGAAAGTAAAATACTTGTCAACGTTGCGTATCTTTGCATCCGCTTTGGATGAAAGTTCCTCGACGTGATTCTTTTGCTCAGTTTCATGCACGCCTGCTTCCATGATAGTGTGAGCATCCTTTGCATGCTCTAATAAGCCACACATGCAGCAGACGTACTTGTTACAGTTGAGACAAAAACATTCTTCATCGTAGTTCGGATGTTTTCGACATTTGTTCCTTTTTCTTGGCAATGATTCGTTTTCTTGATTACTGTAGGAACAGACCTGGCCCTTGGTCCCCACATCTTCAACAAGTGATCTGACTGTTATGTTTGATTGCAGTCTACCCACGTCTCCACCAAGAACCGAAGTCTTCTTCCTGCACGTAGGACACGACAACTTTCCACGAGACTCCAGGAGAGTCTCAAGACAACCCTTGCAGAAGGTATGAGAGCAGGTCAGGTTCTTGGGTTCCTTGAAGAAGCTCAGGCAGATAGGACATTCGAGGTTCTTATGGAAAGCCTCATGCTTCAATGAAGTAGCCATCATTGACAACTCAAGCACACGACCTGAGGAAAAAGAATAAAATTGTGAATTAATTGGCCAACTCAAATAAAAGTGTGAATTTTTTGTAAATACTATAAAGCTGGCTATTATTGCACTGAAAAAAAAGTGAACCATAATGCATTCCATGATTAATAGGGCTTTGTCGGTAAAAAATGAAATTACTTTACGCTTCTTCTTTAGCACTTACGTTACGATCTAACGCCGATTTTGCTTTCAGTAAGAGGCATATGATGTTTCATTCAGCAATGATGTTGTGTGGGTAACTTTTGTTTTTATTCAGTGGAAATTCACACTGACATTCATAACAGGTACCATTATATTTAACCTTTGCACAGCGAACCGTTCACCCACGCACATTTTAGCAATCCCTCCCGTTATAACAGGTTAAATAAGTATGATTTTTTCTTCCCCTTAGGGGTGTAATTCCCGCTCATGAATATTTTTTTGAATAAACACTGGTACTACCTGGCACTGGTACTGTTTGATTACGGTCATATCTATTTGCTAATGCCATACTCGAGTTATGCGTACCTAATATCTGTATTTCATTAAAGTATTATGCACATTGAAACTCAACTGGGTGAACTATCTAAGTATACTTTTAAGAACGTCATAATGCTGTATTACACATATCTTGCTACTTTAATCTCATGTCTCTTTTTCTTTCCTTCATTTTTTTCTTCCATTCTGATCTTTCACATCCTAATCTTTCTGTTTCTCCTCTCTACCACCTCTCCCTCCATCATATTTTAACCTTTACCTCAAATCTGTTGCTCCCTTCGACTTAATTTCTCTCATTCTTACTGCACTTTACTTTGTTCTGTTTTCTCTTATCTCCGCTCCTATTACTTTTGTTTCTCTCTATTTCTAACTATCTGCTATATGTTTTCTGGTTTACCTGTCTGTGTAATGTATTCTACTGGGCTTTGTTGTCTCGATCTAACTGTGGTGTGTTTATCTATTTCCTGCTTACTTTGTTATGCACATGTATTGTTATGTTAACTTTTTCAAAGGTATGTCTTAACAAAAATGTATTTATTTGTAATTTGATATTCTCTTCTGTGAGTCTATGTTAATATAATGCCTGTTTGAACTCTTTGTTTAAAGAAACATCCAGAGAATTATTTGTATGCCAATTGTACTTATGTATTGTGCATGACCAATAAATCAAACTGAAATTGAAACTGATGATCGAGGAATGTGAATGCATTATGTAAGCTATTGTTCAGATAACTCCTTCTCTCTGTTTGCTCTGTTTGTACCCAATAGGCTGGAGATTATGAAAACAATAGAATATATCGCAAGTAGATGCTACCATCAAGCAAATTAATATGTTGATAGGTAGTGTGATGTCAGATGATGCGGTTTCATCATATTTTAATGATACACCTGTATTTCTGTCTTAGTTATTCTTGCTATGGTAATACTACACCTAAAAACCAGTATATTGTGATCTCAGAAACCCCTTCCATCAGTTTAACACTTTATAGAGATACCACCTATACCTTGAACAAATCTGTCTACATCTCCAATCAGAGTGAATAGATCGTGTTCAGTGTTTAATGCGACTCAATGTGTACAAGAGGAAAGGGGAAATCCTTCTGAGTCAACCTAGTGTCGATATAGACTTTTGTAAATTAATGTCATGGTTAAATTGTCTTCAAAAGCCATGTAGGATTAGTCATGTAAGATACTTCCCAATGATAAAAATATGAAATAAATATGTTAACAGCATTATAAAAATATATATATATATACCAGGTTGGCTTTGGATGATGTTCCTTGTTACTTTTGTACACACTACCACGCAATGAACGATGAGGTCACTATAGTTACTGCGCGTCATTCGTTGTTTTCCAAGTATTTGCATGTAATCGGTTTTCCTCGGTCGGATTGGCCTTTTAATCATTTTCATCGCATTACAGAAAACAGATTATTTGTACATATACATACCTTCGTCTAGGTAACCTACAGCCTTGCATTCATCTGTTGGCTTATCTTCCTATGAAATAATCCACAATTGATTCTTGTCCCGTGACTAACAGGGCAAGTGACTTGTCCGTACTTCTTGTCGTAATATAATTTCGTAAAATAACAAAATGTTTCAGATAGTGCGTGACGGCCTACGTGCATGACGTGTCTGGGTACGATAATAAACATCAAAGGGGTGTCGGTGCCACTATTTACATATTTCAAATCATGACCCGCGCAAAACCAATCAACGTACGATGCAGTTGTTTGCAAAGTAAAATAATTACTACCAGTTATCACTTAACAATTTATTTGGCCAAAGTTTCGTTTTTATGGTTAAATATTGATATTGACAACGTCACATGATATATTTTATATCTTGATGGTGTTAGCGTTGTATTGACGATAACATGTCTCCATTATAAAGCGGAAGAAAGATCATGTAAAGCAGCTGACGACGTTTATTTGTTTGAATGCGTTATTGACCTATTCCAATCATTAAGCTTATAAAGGCAAACTTAGCCCACACGCGAGCAAAGATGTCGTCGAATTTCATAGTTAGTAGGGCAATTTAAGAAATTACTTGTGACAAGCGCGTGCCACAACGTTCTCTCTTTTACTAGCTATACGACAACTGAGCCAGTGACATCACTATTTTAAGTAGTCAAACGAGTATTTCGAGTCCTTAAAGATAGTCCATTTTGCAGCCAACATCAAACTCTGTAGAGCTGTGCAGGAATTATGAATATGTCATGTATGTCCTATCTGTGAAATTTAAACATTAACAGTGTCCTAGTATTCAAATTATGCAAGGAAACCCGTTTACCTTCTAAAATTCACTGTCAGACAATATTGAGTGACTGACTACCTTCTTTTTTGGGGTAACAACATACATAAAATGAGCTGTAACAGGTACATGAGCATTTGTCTACATCAATAACCTACTACTTGTAATGGCCAAAATTAAATTGATTTAATCTGTGTGCACCACAAAAGATACGACCACTCGGTAAAAGCGTCTGAACAGTACGATCAGATGAAAATAATTTTAATCCTGAAAAATAGTAATCACAGTTACTAGAGATCACCATTACAGGCCTACATTACGAAACTTGTTTTTAAATTGAAGGTGAATAAAGATATTTATCGAAGAAATATCCGATAGTAGACTTCAAGAAAGAATCTGTGCTGGTTGGTTGGTTCTTCGTTTAGATGGCGCTCTTCAATCTCAAAGATTATTTGCGCCAGTCAATTTCGTGTATAGCTTTGGCGTGGGCTTCGGAAATCAAGCCCACGAGCGACTTTCCTTTGTGAAATGAAATTAATAGTGATATGGTTTTATTAAAAAAAAAAAAAAAAAAAAAAAAAAAAAAGCTGCAATATTAAAATTGCATAAAATGCACATAAAAGGCGAGATGGGAGTTAGTTGCAATTGTTCATGGAAAAACCGCAAATACTTCATTTTATATATTATTACAGGATCGACATAAGTTAAGGGGATCCCTGATAGCTTTAAAAGCTATCTAAAACGATTAGTATCGTATATGTAACCCAATAATTCACGAGTAAAAATTGGGTTAGACATCAATAATTGTTTCAGATTGGGGTTATTCAATTTAATCCTTTCTTTTAAGAGACGTCTATCTTTGTCGTATTTTGTACAATAGAAAATAAAATGTTTAATTGTTTCATCTTCTTGACAAACTTCACAAAGACCAGTATCGTGTTGGTTAATTTGAAAAAGGTAATAATTTAAACTACAGTTACCTACTCTTAGTTGTTGTATCAAGCATTCTTCTCTGCGAGATAGGCCTTGTCTATGTATGGGCTTTGAAACGTCGCTATGCAAAGCATATAAAAATCTACCGTGTTCTGCATTGTCCCATTCTGCTTGCCATAATTTGTTATAATGGATCAAACGAGAGGCTGCCAATTCACTTCTTGTATTTGGTATAACTATGTCTATATCAAACGCGCAAATCAAACGCGTTGAACAACTCAGAGGGCGCTGTTTACTTATTGGTCACGACAGTGATTAAGGTAGCCGTTGCTCCTGAAGAGAGTCCAAAGATCACTCCCATTTCAGTAAAGGCTCCCCCTGGATAAGAGTAATGACCAGTGGCGTAATTATGGGGGAAAGAGGTGTAAGGAGGAAGGAAAGGCGCTACACACAAAAAGGTGAGACCAGGGGGGGGGGGGGGGGGGGGTTAAGGGCAAGGAAAATGAACTTGAGATGATTATGGAGATACTTTGCTCGAGAATGACTTTCAGATATTATCTTTATGTGAATACACCTCTAACAACAGATTATGTTAAAGCAATGTCACGATTTGATTTCATATTGAGTATTAAACCTGTAAACAGATTATTACTCCCCCTGTTTATTGTTTGGTAAAACGTGATACAATCCGTTATTATTTTGTATCTACACACACAAAAACGAAACTAAGTATGGTGAGTAAAAATCGTAGCTCACTCATTCAGTCGAGAGAATATATCTAATAAATGCATTATTTTACACATTTGGTGAATACACCACCTTTCTCTTAGTGAAATTTTACACACATGATATTTAAAACGAGTGATTTGCCCCGATTATTTTCTCGATGAGTCTTTATACTCATTAAAGTACATGTAAGTTAATATTGGATGAGTATTCTCCAATTTTAGTGATCGAATGAGTAAAAATATTCACAAGTGTGTCGAGTCGCTTTTTGCTCCCTAATATTTCACAGACTCTTTATTCTTTGGATGAGTAAAAATACCAACAACCTCAGTCTCTTCGAAGCTGTACTCGTCTTAGGAGCTATCTTACTCTTTGCATGCGTGTAAATATTTCGCTGATGAATATACGTACGCGTTCGTGATCGTACGTACGTAGGTTACCCGATCGTCACGTTTTTAGCGGCCGACGAGCCACAGAATAAGTGTAAGCGCGCGCGATTCAATTTTTCTTAGTTTTAATTCAGTTAGTAGTAAGGGGATCCCTTGAATTTTATTCAGACTTTTTCTAAAACAAGTTAAGGC